AGAGAGTAAAATGATGTTAAATGATGAATGGCTCTGCTTTAATTTAGTAATGAGTGAAATATAAACATGTCTCGTATTGTAATCATAAAGCGAAATAATCGCCAAATTATAATACCATATACAAGAATATAAATAAATTTACAAAACTACGTCTAACATCATTTTGATTAACAAAGTTTGCAAAACTTTTACTATCGAATACTGATAGTAATTCCGATAGTATTTAAAAACGCAATAGCCACCAAGACACTTTGTGAAATTGTAGAAACAACCCAGATGCAGCATTTCATATTACCATTGATCGCCTAGCGATGTTAGTGATTTCTGCTTGAACAAAATAAATACATTTTTGTATATAAATTGTCATTATCAGTGAAGATGCTTACTAAAGAACAATAGAAACAATACTTAATACTTCTGGCTTAAGATGTTACGATTCATTTAATGATTACATTCCTTAGGAAGGCCTGAGTAAGTCTTTACCTGTGCTCGTATTTTTGATAGGACTTCCATCATGTTATCCAATTCCTGCCTGAAATAATTGATCTGCTCATTTTTGGCTAGTAATATTCGCTGCCATTTTTCCTGTTGGAAAGGACAAAACTCGACGTTAGTACCCAACTTTCTTACTATGTGTAGAATGTAATAATTAAATGAATTATAAGACGAACAAAAAAGTACTATGGTTATAAAGATGGTAAATTTTGCACTGTGTATTTGTAATAACCGTTAGGCAATATCCACAATTGATTTGTCTTCCAAAAGTTAAACAAAAAAAACGTGAACTTATGCATTGAAGATTATCAAAAAATACTGGCAGACAAATTATCAACCCTAACTTAAATCAGTGAGTATGCTCTATATCCGTCAATGACCAAAAGGAAAAATAAATTTGAGGTCCGAAGATATAACAATTGTTTACGTTGGCATTGCCATTATTACAAAGCATGTTACCTCTCGCTCGTTTACATCGAATTCATTCATGCCATTAGAAAAGTTGATCATATTCTTTAATTCATTCTCCCTCTCTTTATACCTTAAAATTTAGTAAGACGTACACAACTAAACGATTGATATACTTTTTAAATTTTACCTTAGCATATTAATTTGACTATGCGCATATATGCTATCGCATATCCATTGCAAAAGGTAGCATAAATCACGGACCCTACAGCAGTAATGCAATTAAACGGATCTATACTTACTTTTTTTCAAGCTGGTTAACTTTCGATAAAAGGAAACTGAAGTGGCGCAAGTCCTTGTGGTGCGTAACAATAGTCCGTTATTAGCTGTTTAAAAGCAGACTCAAATAAGCAAAGTTACTGTATCATTTCAATTAACGAACCGGATTAGAAACATCTTTGATTAATGTCAATTCTTCCTTCAGTTCGGCGACGCTGTCCTTTAATGATACTTCGCGTTGTTGATAGATGTCGACAGTTTTTACTACTTTGTTAGCATCAGTCAGCTTCCGTCGAAGCTCTTCTATAAGTAGCTGCGCAAAAGTGGTATTTCTTTACTATAAAGCTCGAAAAGTATGCATATGAGAATCTAAATCTTACCTTCTGGCTTTCTATCTTGGCATTCTTTTCTGATAAATTGATTTCTGAATGTTGATTAACATAAATTCGAAATTCTTCCATATGCTTCTCTTTCATTTCCTCCATCTAACAAAAATATATAGATAATCTAGTGATTCATGAGAAATATCATATACGTATTAATCGGTCCAATTGCAACTTCTGCGAGAGCTCGATAATATAACAATTTAAACACGGTGTCCTCTTAGTAATATCTTGGCCTATTCACATTCATAACTATAATAAGCTGAGTATCAAAGAGACCTGCACTAGGAGATCCTTCCGAGTATTTTCAAGCAAAGATCTTTCTTGATGAATTTGGTCGTGTAATGATTTGACGTCGCTCTCGTATTCTAGCTTTAAATTTGCAATCTGTATCCGAGATTAAAATTAAAATGTGACAGTAAATTTAAATTGCTAAGAGTGAAATGCTATAATGATCTCAGATAACTTGCACATCCAGATAAATTATGTTGTAATGATTTATTACCTGATTTTCTAATGCATTTTTCTCATTTGATACATCTGCGAGTTCGGATTCTAGCAGATATCGCGGGTTATAATTTTTATCTTCTTGGTTAGATTGTACTGCTGCATTCTGATTTTCGGGGGCAGCAATATTTTGCATAATTTGCTAATCAAAAGAAAATCTGAATATCACTTCCTAAGTTCCTATTTACCAATGCGAAGGAGGTAAACATTAATTTCTTACTATTGACTTCTTGGGCGTCTTCCTTATGTCGGTCTTCTTCCTTTTAATCTCCTTGGTTGATTTTAAACGTCCATTTTGGCTCTTGATATCCTTAATGTCTGCAATTTTTAACTTTGTTATTTCCAGCAATTTCTTAACAATTACTTCCAACTGATCTTTCGTTGGTCTTTCCGCATTTATCTCAAGATTATCATCCTTCAATGATATAATAGCTTCATCGACACCTAATTATGTGAGCACGCAACCATTAAACTACAATGAATTAATGCTATCGAGAAAAATATCACGCTGCCCGTTTTGGCAATGTCATTACCTGGAGATGCAGATGATGTGGTTACATTGGACAATGATTCAACTGCAGTGGTAATATCCTTTAACATTTGCGCATCTCTTTGTTTATGTCTTTCCTTCAAACTTTCGAGTTCTTTCTCTAAAGCTTGAGTGCGAGTATACGGATGAACTGAGCGTTGATGATATTCACCAGTTAATCTTGATAGTCTGTTAGTGGCGGTAGCTAGTTGTGTTTCTAGATCGGTTACACGATCGTCGTACTTAATCTGTAATATTTAGTTGGCAAAAATACAGTAAGTGGCAATTAAAATTTACCAACTAACAAAATAATTTGAGACAAATCCTAAGATTCACGTATTAGCTTATAAAATTTATGAATTATCAACATCAAACTGAAACATATATTATTATAATATTACAATAATTAGGTTTGAGAGCAGTAATATATTTTTGAATAAATAAAAATTTTTAAACATACAGTAATGCCAGAGGAATGAAGATACAACATCATTTTCATCGACAGCAGAAATGAAGTTGCTATTCAATATTATATATATATATATATATATATACATTACGAAACTAAGTGCACACTACTTATTTACCTTCATCCCTTCATTTAGCTGCTTAAGTGATCTAATACTCTTTTCGTTTTCAATTTCCTTCTCCTTTAATTCTTCTTTCAGTTTTTGGAGCTCATTCTCAAGATAAATAGCAGAATGGGGCGATTTTGATTCATTGTCAACACTAGGTTCATTACCGGAAGATGCATTAGCAGCATAAATCAAAGCAGATATCGAATTTGGATAACGACGCTTGATGATTTCATCCATTTCTCTAATCTATTGCCGAGAAAAGCCTGATTAAAGACACAAATCACATGAAGTAATGCGAATAAATATTAAGTCTTATCATACCTGTCGCTTATGGTCCTTAATCTGTTGTTCATATAACTGTCGTTGGCTAGTATATAATTCGCTTTCTTGGATTTCTGTTGCAGCCTTGATTTTTAAAATTAAGTGGAATGAAATGTAACATGTGCGTGCGTATGTCTTAAGCGAGATCTAGCAAATGCAATTTTTGTCACATCTTAAAATGATAGGGAGAACTTAATAAAGCAGAAATATATGATTCATTGCAACGAGTTTTGCTAACTTTTTTCTTCAATTCTTCTACTTGCTGATTTAATTCTTTAATTTGAAGTCGCTTCTCTTTAATTTCATTGCTGTCATGATCTAAAAGCTGCTGATTTTCGGCGTACCATTTCAATTTTTCACGCATGTCGCTCAATTCCTTTTCGTATCTTTCTTTTAATTCGCTTAAATTCTCTGCGGTAATCACTGTAGAATGTTAAACATGATTTAACAATTGCTAGAAAGAATTCGTCATCCCAATTATGCTTTAACATGATGAAAATTAGCTTACTTTTGCCTTCTTCAATATGGCTTTTATATTCATTCAGCTCACGCACCAATTTATCTATGTGCTTCTCAAGTTCACCTTTGATTACTTCAAGTTGATCTACTTCTTGTCTTAAATTAAGTTCACGCTCTTTACTTGCCTTAAGTTCTGATTCTAATTCAGCAATTTTTCCTGCTCCTAAAATAATTGGATTAGTTTTCTGAACAGGATCAAATCCAACTGCCTCAAGTTTATTCCTACAAATAGAAAGAGTTAACAATATTAGCTACTGTAAAATTATAACAATAGATCATATTATCCACTACTTAATCATATACAAATACTATACGCGTATTGGAAACGATTTCCTAATTTTTTTAAGCTTACTTTAAAGACATTATTTCAACCTTTAGTTGCTCATTTTCTGTGTACATTTTCTTTTCGATGGCTTTACTACGGTTTCGAGTTAATTTAAGTTCTTCATAT